GCCCTTCACCCCTCCTCCCCTCCCCTCCCGTCCCATCTCTCTGCCCTGCCTCTGCTCCCCCCGCAGCCTCTGCTCCCCAAAGTCTCACCTGGTGCAGTGTCACCCTCCAGCCAAGCCAAGCGAAGCTGAGTGTGCCTGTCAGCGTCGGGGCGGAGGGGAACGGGCCTGGCGTGTTCCTGCACAGCCTTGATGGACGCGGGTGCCCTGTGCACCCTATGCTGGAAAATCCTCCTGTCATACCGACCTCTCCCCTGGCCCTCGGAGCAGGTTACTCTGGGCCATAGCCTCATTCCCCATCGCCTCCTCCACACCAATTTAGCTGCCAGTTGTCGTCCACCCCACCTCCATTTCTCCGTGTCCGTGGTCGGGCCTGCCAGTCCCTGCCCTCCCGTGCTGCTGACCCTGCACTTCATCATCCTCTCCCTGGCAAGTCTTTCAGCCCCTTCCTCCCACTCACCTCGTGTGACCCACAGTGGGACGACCGTGTGCCTTGTCTTTCTCCCTGCTCGTCCACTTCGTACCATCCAGCTTGCTCTTCACCAGTTTTTCCACAACTCATCCAGCACATCCTCTGGATTAGCCCCTCCAGTTCTTCCCAGGCCCCAACCACTGGACCCTGCCTCCTTGTCCTGTAGTTGTGCTGTTCTACCCTTGCCCCTCTCATCTTTCTGTCCACTTTACTTTCTTCTAACCTTCTCTGAAACCTTTTTGAGTTCCTTCACGCCACCGCTCTGCTATTGCAAGCGCTCTTTGCTGCTTCCTGTCCCTCAGTGTGTCCATCTTCCTCGCTTGCTCTCTTCTGGTCCAGTTCTTTCAAATGCAGCAGCCCCCAGCCTGTGACTCGCAGATAGCCTGATGCCTGCAGAACTCCAGTTTTGTTACAGCCGCGGGAAGGAATAAAGCTATCAAGCAGGGGACATTTCTTTTGAATAACAGAGTGGGCAGGCACTCCTCGCATTCTCAAAGCCATATACGGATACCAAAATGACATCACCACAAATGTTTCCATTTCTTGCCTGTCTTACTTTAACCATTCACTCTCCTCTTGTGGTATGTACAAAGTTTGCAATGTATGGATCACAGCAAAAATCATTCCTGCTTACCGTTTCTGATACAGTTAACTACCTGACAGGTAGGAAGGAATGTGAGAGGGAAATTGGAGAAATCCCTCCCTCTCCCTTTAAACTGTTTTTCAGTCATGTTTGCAGTAGGTTTGTGCGGTGCAGTTTGGTGTTTTTGCCTTTAGTGTCAGTTGTTTACATTGTCTTTCTTATTAGATTGTAGTCCAGCTCTGAGCTCTTATCACTCACTTGGGAAGTTCTGAATGGGCCTTCTAGAGGTACAAACTGCTATGTACAAAGGACTTTTTCCTGCCTGGTGGTTTTCTGAAGAAAGGAATGTCACTTCCCCCACCCCCACCCTGCCAACAGCATTTATAATATAGGAAGAAGGCAGAGGGAAACGCTTTATGTCATTTTTTAGAGTGACCATGTGTTTATTCAGGTGGGTTCAACAGTGAAATTTTGCCACGTCTTAGATCCTGGGAGGAGATGTTTCTGTGCTGCTGCTTGCTCCTCTGGAGGGAGCTTTCTCGTAGCCGCTGAGTTCACTTAGGAATGTGTTTCTACAAAACTTTTTTTTTTTTTTTTTTTTTTTGGGGGGAAAATTGAAACCAAGAGCGAATTATGGACTAAGCAAAAATGAGAGACCCGTCAGCCTACCAACAAACAGGGTTAAAGCATAAAGCACAAAAGAAATCACGCATTTGACGAAAGTGCAGCTGAGATTTCCCTTTGCATTTAGCACTGTCTGGGCTGACTGGAAGCACATAGTTTTGGGACAGCCAGGAAGGGCAGCTGGCGGAGTTCCAGTGCTGGGACACTTACAGCAACACAGCAGCAAGAGCTCATGTTAGGGTTGAAGTCTTTCTTTGATGTAGTCATCTCTCAAGTTTCTTTCTGAAATGAAAGGGTACCGTTTTATAGATGCAAACAGAAGAGTGCATGTGCATATGTGCTTGTGATTCTTGCTTATAGTTTTATACGTACACTTCCGTAAGCTATTTCAGATGGGAGGTGGAACTCTGTATCACCTGCACATCAGTATGCTGAACGGGTTGATATGGATCTTGGCTTACAAGGGAAAAGTTTTTAACATTTCACAAATACTTATGACTTTTACTTTCTCTCTCACTCTTCCTAAATATGTGTATACATAGTTTATAAAAATACGTGTGTGTATATATAGAATAAAAAACAAATGCATGCATACAGAAGTACATAACGTATTTGGCACATGCAGTTGTAAATGAGGAATACATACTTCACAAAGTATCTCTAACAGGGTTTAAAGTTAGTTTAAAAATGGGTATAGAAAATTACATAGTACATTAGGACACAATTATTGAGCAAGTCCCTGCTGTTTGCTCTAACTTCATAATGCCATCAAGAATATATATTATTGTAATATTGTCCTCTGTGCTGCTAGGCAAATAAGTGACGTAAACACCATGTAAACATGGTAAGTGATGACTCCTGCCCAGTATCCATAGGTTGGCATCAGTAATTGCTGCGACATTAATCCCACACAGGAGCAACAGTATACTCTTGTGCCTTGTCAGCTTTATGAACAGGGGAGGGGGAAGGGAAAGAATCTATGCTCTTTGCAACAATAATAGATTTTAAAAATAAAAAAAAATATGTTCCTAGTGATGCAGCTAGTGATAAAACTGGGAAGAATTCTATCAGTTTTACTGTACCATTGTATCTGCTGAGACTGGTTTCAGTAGAAGTAAGTTTGGGAATATAGAGGCTGCAGGAAAGTTCATTGACAAAAACTGAGAAACTCTGAAGTTTTTTTTCCAATTACCCTTTTTTTCCCCCCTTCCTCTTTTTCCTATCCCTGTTTAGGCTAATAACCTTCCAAAAGCTATTGCAGCAGCTCACACGTTTCTTCTGAAGCATCCAGATGATGAAATGATGCAAAGAAATATGGCCTACTATAAGAGCATACCTGATGCTGAGGAGCATATTAAAGACTTGGAGACAAAACCTTATGAGGTATGTTTTTTTATTCAGAGTCTGGTCTTTTGGAACTGTTTTATTACTTCTCTTACTGTGTGAGATTCAAGGATCTCATTTGCTTACGTGTTCTCAGTTCTTACTCTTCTTTCCTTCTTGCTGTCTTCCTCAATCATCTCTGTTCTGCATTCTCGATGCATTCAGCAATTCTCACCTCTTGTGCTTTTCACTGTTCCGTTAAGTCACAGTAAATCAAAGACAGTGGCATACCTGAAAGCTACGACATGCAGATCACTCCTGGAGCTAAGTAGGTACATAGAGTTATTCAAATGCATGAGTGCTGTAGCAGCACAGCTTAAAATAACTCGGACATTTGGTGTTAAGATTCCATTGAAAATCTCTATCAAAATCTGTGCTTTAGACTCACACTGTTCCCTCTGTCCAGCAAGTTTTTCTGTTGATCTGAAATAAATTACGTACTCTGCTCTCTAGGAAATATCTGGTAAAATCCATTATTCACCTGTATTTGTTGTCCTCATATTAATTGGGTAACAGCTTATATAGTAATCCAGAAATGCAGAGACATCATTTACTGTATTTGAATTTACACACAGCTTTCCACAGATCAGTTACTGCTGTTTTTCATTCCTGCAATTTTTCAGAATCTCTTTGTCAGGGCTGTGAGAGCATACAACGGTGACAATTGGAGAACGTCCATCTCAGACATGGAACTGGCTCTTCCTGATTTCTTCAAAGCCTATGATGACTGTACAGCAGCCTGTGAAGGCTCCCGAGAGATCAAAGATTTTAAAGACTTCTATCTCTCCATTGCAGGTGAGTGGTTAGGAAACAGTAAGGAAAGATGTCCTAAAAGTGCATTTCAGTTTATCCATGGGATTGGCTACCAAAATCCTGTTACTCAGTTTGCAGTGTGAAATGCACATGGTGCCCCCTGCTCAGTTTGGGCCAATATGAGTTTATTAGATTCCCTGAAAACTGCTTGAATTCTGGTTTACTTTTTTCTTCTTTTCAGTAACATAAATGAGGGCTGTCAGAAAATCAGAACAGAGACTTCTTACATTAACATGGAAGTTGTGTGTCAGAATAAAATAGATGTGTAAGTAATAACAACTACTCCATCCAGCTAGCAATAGTTATCCAGACAGGTCTCTTGACCATCATTTCAGTATCAGTTTGGCCACCTTTGAGGCTCAGTGCCTCAAAGCCTGCCTTCAAAGTCTGCTTTGTGGTTTGTGTATCACTGGTCATACATATCTCCTTTCTCATAAATATGACAAGTTTCTGTTGCCTATTTTTCATCCTTCCTATAGTTTTGCTAGCAGATGATTTCTTTTTCTTTAGTATGTAGCTTAAAAAAATCCATGCTTTGCAAAGAAAAAGAGATACTGCATTTTTGATTGCTGTCAAAATGGCGCATACACATTTCCTATGCTCTTTGGTAGCAAAAGAAACAAGTAATTTCTCCAGTGCTCTGGGCTCAGTGTTGATGACAGTATTTGTGTGGGGGAATGCCTGCATGTTTTCTCAACAAACTTAAAAACATGAAAAATGCAACAGATGTTCTAAGTTGTCAGAAGGAAAACCAGCCCGATTCTTTGTCCTAAAGCCATCAGATGTGTTGGTGAAGGGAAACTAATGAAATACATTGGTACACAAATGTAAAGTACAAGAGCAGCTCCACAGTTTCTCACAGTGTGGAACTGGTATCCACCAGTACAGCTGACATGGAATAGCTATTGCAGGCCTTGCTTTACTTTTGGGCAAAGCAGGCAGGTGCCTAGGACAGCAGATGAGGAGTGAAGGTTAAATCACAGGCGATAAAGCATGAAACAGGCTTTCTTCCCCAGTGGGTCAGAGCCCTGACATCAGGATAACCCCCAAGCCACTGTAAAGAGTACAGTGTCCATGCTCAGCTGTGATTGGCACTTTCTGTCATCCTTTCTCTTCCTCCTTGGAAGGAAAGGACAATTCCAGCAGTAGTGGTGAGAAGGAAAGGTAGGAGTTACTGCATGATGTCATCACGGCCATGTGCACCCATGTCAAATATTTTGTTCCTGAAATAAGAAAATGCAAATTTACTTGCACTGCCTAGGCTGAACTGTGCTCTTGCTCCAGGGAGATATATCCTGCCTCTAAGGTTTTTACTGCAGAAAGTAAATGTAGCAAAATGTTAACCAGAAGTATCTGGTGATTGCACTAGGTACGTATTTATCCCTGAGCAATGAGTTATGTTTGGAAGCCAGCTGTCCTCATTGCGTGGGATTGCTTCACTGAGGAACTTGTGTCTCTGGCTTTAAGTGCTGTCTGGAATTGAACACTATTGTGTCTGGAGACTCCACTGCTCTTGTAAAAGACAGGTCTGGTAATTTCATTTGGCCAGTTATTTTAGTTAGCTTCAGCGTTCTTCATGTTAGGAGTTGTCAGATATAAAAACAGGGGAAGGGGCCTTCGCTGTTCTTTTGCCTCAGTCAGAGAATGCTGCACAAGCTTAGATAACTTGCTTTCACCTGCCAAATGTGGCTAACAGGGATACTAAGGCTTTAAAATATTTCTGTTTGGTTATATATGTCTAAAGTTACATATGCTGAAACCTCTTGAAATTCTGTGATGGAAGGTTTTCTCGGAATGTATTTTCTTGAAGATAAGATTACCTCTAGTCCTATCCCATTGTACCATGCTTTTGTAGACCGGGTAAGCTTGTGAACTTAAATGTTTCTGGCTGAAAGTTGTTCTGTAGTGAGCAGCGTATTTGTGTCTGTCTTCTCTTTTAGAACATCCAAACTGCAGGCACAAAATGCAGCCATCTCTGGAGGTTTATTTTGCAATCACCTGGTGTATTTCTCTGTGACACAGTTGTACTCAGCAGCATGTGGACCTTATTCATGCAATAATTTAATGAAATTGTATAGGCTTTTAAAATTAAAAAAAAATAGCACTGTTAAGCTCACAGTTAGGAAATAATGCAATACTCCATAACACTCTATATAAAACCTACCACCACAGACTGCCTGTAGGTGTCAGTGAAACATAATTGCTTAGTTCTCTGGAATTGCAGCTTTGATACATTTCAAGTCCAGACCACACTGAGTTTTACAGAAAGGCTGAGTACCAGTACTTGATGCATATTTCAGATGGAGTTGTAGATGCTCAGTACTTCCAAGCAGCAAGATCCAGATGCACAGGACCCAGGAGAGCATTATAAGGCCAAATTTTAATGGGTAGCTAATGGGAGGAGTTATAACAATTCACTGTGCGCTATCCATATCCTGTGTTGTTGTTTTCTTCCTTCTAGATCATTACATTGAAGTCCTTGCATGCAAAGTGCAGTGCGAGAGTAATCTGACACCCATTATAGGAGGCTTTGTTGTTGAGAAATTTGTGGCCACCATGTACCATTACTTGCAGTTTGCTTATTATAAATGTAAGTAGTGATTTAATGTGCTTAAATAACACTGGGATGATGTGGAACAGTTTCCATTCATAATCTTTTCCCGTTAGTTATAATGCTTTAGAATGTAAATAGTGGCCTCCAGAATCTTGCATTTTAACCTGTTCTAGAACAGAAAGTCTGAGCTGCCTGGTGTCTTTTTCTCCCTGTATAACTGTAGTTAACAGACATGGGAGATAAATGTTATGTATAGAGCCCGTGCTCATAAAATTGTCCGCGACAAAATAAATTGCTGAACATAAGTCCCATAAGGGCTGGATTTTGCCCAGAGCAGGCCCCTCCATTTTAAGTTATGCATGGTTGTGACTGGTCTCCACTTGGGTGTTGGAAAAATGAGGCACTTACTTACAGAGTAAGTGTGATCTGATCCATCACTGCCCTTCATTCTTTATATGACACCTACCACCAGCACAAGTTGCTTACACTTTTCAGAGTTTCATATAAATTATAAATGTTCATATAAATGATAAATGTTCATCATATGTATTTTAGATGTTTAAATGATACACCAACTCTTCTGCCTTTTTGAAGTAACTCATAAGATGTTAGGGTAAAAAGTGTCAGCCACTTCCTATACATTGGAACACGTGCAATGACACAGACCCATTGTGTACACTTGTGTACAAAAAAACATGGTTTGTGCCAAAAAGCCATGGTGGTCAAGCTGTCAGGCCCACATGGTTGTTAAGCAGCTGAATGTATAGCTCCTTTAACAAGAAGTTTTTTCTTAAACTTCTTAACTCATTCAGTTAGAGAGAAGAAAGATTGTGACTTCAAGGCAACACATTTAACATAACACCACTTCTTCTATTGAATACTTAATTTTCAATTTACTATTCAGAATTTCTTCCACAGACAAACCTAGAGAGTGTTTCATACCATTCGCTTTTTCCTAGTAGATTCTTACAATCCTTTTAGAATGGGGCACATGGGGCTCAATGGGTTTTGAAGAAAGAGGGGACCACTTAACAGAAATTCTAGTGTTCTGTTGCTCAGTGATTACACATTTGATAGGTAAATCATTCAGTGAATTTTGTGGTTTCTTGAGGAACTACCTGCACTGTAAAGAACACATGTAGCCTTTACAGCTACTCCTGCAGGCTCCAACACCAAAGGGAAGACACATCCAGCCATGTAGAATCAAGCCATTAATGACTTTTGCTTATGTTGTTGACTACACGTTTTACATATCGACTCTTCCCGCTTTGTCAATTCTAGTACAGAGAAGTAGGGGGGGTTAATTTGTTTGGGTTTTTTTTAATAAATGCCCCAATGGGTATCACCAAGCTGTGGGCTGATACCTCACTGATACTGGGATACCTGGGAGGGACATTTGGTTAGGATTTTCATAGAAACCATCAGGGGTTAAGTCCCCATTTCTGAATCATGGCCTTACCTGTTTCAGAACACAAAAATAGCATACCCCATCTGGGAAGCAATTTATTTTTTTTCTATGCAGCTGGTAGGGAGGTAGAAAATGGGTCCTGTTTCCATGTGAGTTTTTCGGAGCTTAGATAATAGTAGGAATTTGTTCATTTACCTTATCTGGATTTTTTTTGTGTGTGTTTATTAATTAGTGAATGACATGAAGAATGCAGCTTCTTGTGCTGCTAGTTACCTTCTGTTTGACCAGAAAGATGAAGTAATGAAACAGAACATGGTCTATTACCAGTACCACAAAGACAAATGGGGACTTAAAGAAGAGGATTTTCAGCCCAGATCGGTAGGTGAATTACTTAAAACGCATTCTAGAAAAATTCAGATATTTCCCTGAAACTCACTGGGTCAGAGGTTGTGAAAATGGGGTTCACCTATAGGTTCTGGAGTTAAAACACATACTGTTTTATTAACACCATACAGAAAGTTGTACACAGAGATGTTCTATGTAATGTAGCCAGTGAATGTCATTATAGTTCCTCCCTTTGTGTTGAAATATACTACAATAGGATATGATATGATATGATATATGATATGATATGATGACGAGTAAATTCATGCTGGTACTTGTCTGCCACTTATGTATATTTATATCTTTATCTACCTCAATAAATAAAGCAGCTGGCCCCTGAAATCTCCTGATGAAAAGATCACTCCAGTGACATTTGGGCTTTTGTCAATCACTTATTATTTGCCAACTTGTAGTTGCCCACCTGCTTGTTATTTCAGGTTCTGTGTGCATTGGAATGTGTCCAGATATGGTAACCCCAGCTAAACCCACTTTCCACTTACTCAATTTAGAACATAGTTGGGTGGACGATGATGGAAAAAGGCTCACAACCATATTGCACCTAATTATCTCAGTTAGAATGCTTGCTGCAAAGAACCCACAGTGAACATCAGTCCATCCAGCAATGATTGTGATCTGGCTTTGACAAATGACACTAAAAATGAGTTTCTATGCTGTTCTTAAATTTCCATGTCAGAGGAAATTTTACATAGAAAAGCATCTTTGCTGTGTTTCTGGAGTCCTGCAGCCTGGACCCTGACAATCAAGTTGGATTTTCTGTAATTTCTTGTTACCAGGATTTATGTCATGCAACTGAATTAACTGCTTTGTGACACCTGAGTGACTCCTTAGGCATCAGTGGTATGTGCTTTACAGGTAGTTAGTCATTAGCAATACATGTTCCACAAATTGAATTTAGTGCCTTCTCTTTCTCTTACGGCATGACTTCCCTGGGGAAGAGTCATTTAAGTTAACCTAGCTGAAGCAACAGCGGGCACCCCACAGGGTAACGTTGCAGTTGCCTTTCCCATGTTGCTTCTTCAGACACCTCAGTCACCGAGACCTGTAGCAGCCCAAAGGCATATCCCTTGATTCTTAATGCTGCTTTAAGCTCAGTACATATATGTAGTGCTTAGGTGACTGGCTTTATCTGTAGCAACACTGCAGAGCAGTTCACGTATGCATCTTATAGGTTGCACTGATTTGACAATTACATTTTCTGTCCTCTCAGGCCAGCCAGCTCAAGTCAAAAACACCACTCCATTTGAGTTAAGTGTTTTTTGGTTGTGGACAGCTGTTGAATTATGTGCAACACACCTTATCTGCACACTGGAAAGCCAGGCCTGCCCTGCAGGGCCGGCTGAGGCAGAAGACGGCAAAAATGCATTTGCTTCTTTCAGGCAGGAGCAGTGACCCTGAGCTCACAGGGGAAAGGGACCACTCCTTTGTCACTGCTTTTGGGGACAGAACTGTGCTTTATAGCCATATTGGAGACAATGTTTGAAGGTGGTGGGAGTGAGGGGTAGCAACAGTATAAAACTGCAAACCACAGACAGATTTGGCATACATATGCAGAGAGGACAGAACAAGGGCCCTACACATTAACTCTGAATGTTTCATTGATAACTTCTCAGGAGCTGGGGACTACAGATAATTTAATTTTTAAATATAAAATATTAGATGCACACAGCTGTATTTTCTTGTACTTTGATCCATGTAACTACAAACAAAAGTTGCTTGCTGTCCTAATCACTTACCATGAAAACCATAATGCCTCTGGTTTATTTTCACAAAGTGGTAACGGGGTGACAGCAACATTTGGCTCTGGCACTAAGCTTTAGATGTTCTTGTGAAAGAGGAAGTCTCCTGTTTTCCTCCCCAAAAAGAGTTAAACGGGGTAATCAAAGTGGATTACTGTTGGTATTCACAAATACGAGGGTAGGCGACTGAGCGAAACTCTGCTGTCCAGGCAAACAGCCGGGGAAGTGAAGAGGGACAGGTGGGTGACCGAGCAGAATTTCCCTAGCCCAGACTTAGGCTGGGGTGGTGAGTCATTATCATGCAAAATAGCTTAGTGTCTCTTTTTCCCAGAACTGCCTGCCACTGTACACCAGCGCACAGGGAGACAGAGGCTTTCTCAGGTCCAAAGCCCGCTGGAATGCAGGCACAGGCTGCTGCTCAGCTCTGGCAGTCTCATTCCTTGTTCTCAGACTCGCCAATGCTTTGAAACATGAGAAAGAGGAGAGAGCTTTGTTCTTCTCACACCGATGGAGCCTGTCCTTAGAAGGATCCACAGAAGACATTGGATATGCTGCTTGCTGTTCTGCTGTTTCCTTTCTCAAACATTTTAACCCCCCTGGGACCTACCTTCTACTAATTATGGGTCTGACTTCACTGGAATAGTTTCAGGTGACATGTGATGACACTCCCCTGTCTTGCTACCCTAAAGTAACATAGAAATTCTGTTTTTTGATAGGAGGCAGTTCGATACCACAACATAACCACACTCCAGTTGGAAATGTATGAATTCGCAAAGAAGCATCTGATGGATGATGATGAGGTGAGTTTTCTAGAAAGGAAATCGTGGTCAGAAAACCAGCAATCACATTAAAGTGAAGATGATACATAGATGGAATTCCAGGTTTTAGCTAATATGGAAAAATCTTCTTGTAACCGTGACCAATTTATCATAAATTTTTCTTTTGTAAATGGAATATAAGAAACAAATCCAAAGAACATCACGTACCATTTAAAAAAATATGGGCAGTATTAACACAAAGGTAAATATAATGCACTCAGCCCACAAAAAAAGAAAATCCACTTTGCAAGCTACAACACCAGGGGGCAGAGAAGTAGTATATATATTTAAACCCAACATTTTTCTGGTGTTTTTTTTTTCTGAAATGTTGTTTAAATTAGATTTAAAGTTCCTTATAATTTTGTCCAGAAGAAACCACCTAAATTGTAATTTTCATCAAAAGGAAGTCTTGTTATCTGTTATTTTTTTCTGCACAGTAACATTTTGTTCAACGAGTTTTGCTTCTTAAATGGTTGGAATTCATGGCCAAATAACATATAATGACTACTGTTAGACTGGAAATATGTAAAGTGGATTTTTTGTGCAAGAAAAGTAGTTAAATTGTTGAAAGGGCATTTCTTTGTCTCCCACAGCTGAAATTAAAGTATAAATCATGGAGGCTTTGGATTGCTTTTTGTTTTGCTTTGTTTTCAGAACCTTTCATTTAAAGGTTTAAAAAATCTTCAAATGATGGAATAGTTCGTTGCTGGCATTGGCAAAGAGCTATGTTCAGTTATGGCATGGGGCAGGGTACTTGTAATGAGCACTGCTGAGATCTTTTTTCGTTAGAAAAAAGAAAGATGGCTAATGTTAAAAATGAAATAATTTTTTATGTGACTCAGCACATAGGGAGAGAGAGTATTTTATAGTGGAGAAGTAGATAACATGTCTGTGCTGCCTTCAGTATGCTAGTGACCTGAAAACAACTCTATACATAAAATTCCATTGCAAGGTTACCAGACTTTAGGAGGACTTTCCATTGTGATAAAACTCTGTGAAATAAGCTTGTTAGAAGGTTAAGCTTAGATGAGGACTAGTCTGTATGAATTTTCATCGGGGTGGGAAATACCTGAGCACTTTTTTATATTCCCTTGTTAGTTTGTGCTTTGCCAATAATGTTTTCTTATGTTAGGCATAAACTTAATTTGTAATTTTTTCCTTCTTTCGCATCTGCTGCTTCAAAACACAGGGATGAGTAATTAAGGAAGGGGAGAAGCAGTCCGTTGTGAGGGCTTTACCCATATGTTGTTACAAGAACGGATTAGTGAAACAATCTTCAGCCTCAAGCACTGTGTATAGAATAAACAAGCATTCGTTTGCTGGCATTCATTCCTGTAGCCCATTTCACCGGTGCAATTATAAATGACCTTGCAATCTGCAGGAGGGAAGTACAGTGGAAACATCAATTAACTTTTGGGGAAGTGTCAAGGAAGTCACATTACACAAGATTACATGTTTGGGTTACAAACAACCAAAATTACCGGGCCTGCTCATGCCACAGATATCCCTACCCCACACTCTCATCACATTAGGAAAGTTATCATTCTCCTCGCCTAAGGAGAAACTGAAAGGCTTCTGTGCCTTCACTTACTAGGGCTGAAGAACCTGGGAGGGACGGAGGCTGTCCATGCCTCTGGCTTGGCTCTGGCTTTTGGTAGTGAACTCATAACTCCCTGGCTACCAGAACTTCTCTTTGGCTGCAGGAGCCTTCCAGGGAGTCCAGACACAGCAGGAATAGCACAAAGGTAAAATCGCTACCTTGCAGTTTCTGCTATATGGGCAGGACCTGGTAGTGTAAGTGGAATTTTTTTTTAATATTTCTCCTGGCACAGATAGAAAAGTTTATTCTATAGGAATGCTGAAACCTGATGAAAAACCCAGATAAGGTGTTACAGTAAAAGCTTTATTAAAAATTATTAAGGATGGAGGCAACCGCTCTTTTTAGTGCACTCTGTTTATTTAAACCATGTGCTTCTTGGGCCATAGGCCATACCTTTTGTGAGTTTCTGTGGTCCATGTTTGCTGTCTGTGAAGTTGCTTGTGGGCCAACAAGCCCATAAAGTAATCTGCAGAAAAAAATCATTCTCTTTTCTTGAGTGAAGCAAAAGGATTGATGTGGCAAAAGGATCTCTTCCTATGTGAATATGTCATTATTCCCAAGTGGAGAATCTCACTTTATTCAGACTTCTCAGTGCTCCTGTATACCAGAACATCCATGTGTCTTTTTAAATCCTATTAGCAAAGCGAGTGAGAACATGTGGCTTCTTCCAATAATACACTGCAGTAATTGCAGAGGCTGGAACATGCAGTAATGATTTTTGCATATGTCACTACAAGAAATACTGTCCTGTTCATGTTACTTTATTAATGTGTTTCCACAAGGAAATGAAAAACTCTAGTTCAAACATTTAACACAGTAGAGGTGACAGAGAATATTAGCGCCAACTAGCTACAAATTACTTTTTCTTAAAAGTAATTATTATTAAATATCCTTACAGTTTTCCACAGTGAAGTTAAAAGAACATTACACAGTGTTGTCATCTTAGTTGGCCATGGATAGTCAAGCTTTTTGATTTCTGTTCAGATGTGTAATGCATAAAGGCTATAATAGATATAACTGCTAGCATTGCACAGATTTAAATAGCAAACTGAAATGCCGTTAAGAGCCAGATACTCAGCTAGTGTAGATATAACTTCAGCACTACACTAATTGTATGAGACATGTTTCTGGCCCATAAAATCAGTGCTCTTGAGGAATTTTTTTTCAGGCATAGCTACTTAGCTGTTCTAAATTACATAAGAACCACAAGTACTTGGCTGGTATGATCCTACAGTGTGATTTTTCTTTCAGTACTTGATCAGTAGGTGAAAAACTGTTGGCAGCTTTGACCCACTTTTTTGGCATCTTGTTCTTTTTATTTGTATATAATGTGTGTGTCCATTGGTATAGTAGCTGAAATTCAAATGCTCTATTTCTAAGTGTGATGCAAAGGAGAATAAGTGTTGAACTAATGTGGCTGGTGGAAAGAGAACATATGGAATAGCATCAAAGCACGAGGGCCCAGTGGACTACTGATAGCAAATAATCTGAATTCAGCCTGTTTTTCTGTTCAGGAATCGCTACCAACATATTTTCAGCTTTATTAACTCACTTTTTGCATATGTTCAAATGGTTTATACAAGTGCACTCGTAATGGCAAGTTGTAAATGCAGACCTGTAAACCCTGCCCTGCCTGTGACCTCAGATCAACACGGCTACAATAGCACCGCTACAATGGGAACAGCTGGTGGCAGCTATTTCAGGGAGAGTTGGCAGCTAATTGGCATTGTTATGGTCCCTGTTCAAATACACTTCTTTAAAGAAAAAAGAAAAGATTTTTTTCATCATCATTTCCTAGTGGAGGTACTGCCCATGTGGCTGGCTCTCCAGAAGCTTCCTGCTTTCCCCTCTTGCTTCTTTACCACTGGATGTGTATCTTGGTCAAAGGTGTTCCTCCTTCCATTTAAACCACCTACCGTGGGAAGCTGCAAGTGTGGTTGGGCTTAAATGGCAGGATGTCCCCAAGTTGCAGGTACTGACATTAGGAGGAATTTTTACCTGCCCAGATTTTCTTAAGCTTTGATGTGCAGCATAAAGCAGCCAAGAGAGCATAAGTAGAGCTCAGAAACAAAGCCACTAGAAGGCTTCTGTTTTCAGTGCAATGGGAGCAATGTTGAAGTTGCTCTGAAACTGGGTTGACTCATGTTTTATAGGCATTATAAAAATGTTAAGAGGAAAGCACATTTATTGGATTACTGTAAAATACTATTGTAATAACTGCAGTGTACTGCAATCTCCCATAGCATATGGGAAGAGAACAGTTACATGTTCAGAATATATCATTAAAAAATGAAATGGAAAAGTATTTGAGAAAAGAAGTTAACATACATGTAAAGAACAACTAAGCTCTTTTAATATTAAAAAACCCCACCACCTAAAAGCATGTGACAGTGGGTCACACTGTGGACTAAGTATCTGAAAAATAAACAAGTTAAGGGCCAAATAATTTTTCTGCACAAAGAATTGAGGGATTTTTTTTCCCCTGCTAGAATGCGAGGAATGTCCAGCCTGGTCTGTACTGCTCGTGGAGGATCTGGGAGGGCTTTGAGGTGGTTACAGTGAACTCACATGTTTTAACTGAAGGTTAGATCAAGGAACTTTTTCTTGGTCGAAGGCTGAATAAACCTTTCAGGCTGAGCCACTCATTGACACATACCTTACTGTTATCCCGAAATAATGTCGTTCCCCCCCAAAAATTTCGCTGGCCAGTGGGCTGTGTGGTGTGCGCTTGCAGGCTCTATCAGGCCCGCGGAGCACGTATCCTCCACAGTCGGCCGTATCAAACCTTTGTTTTCTCTCTTGCAAGATGGTTATTCATCCTTGAACAAAATCTGCTGTTTTTCATGAACCTAACTCCTTGTCACTACTCCCATTAGTTACTCAAATTAGTTACCAGGGCAGTTACTCATTAGTTACAGGGCAGCCCTGACCTCTCCTCACAGAAGCCACCCCTGCAACCTCTCCCGCTACCACAACCTTGCCACCTATACCCGATACATACGGGAACAAAGTCTGTTACTCTCACTGTTGAACGAGTTTCCAGTCATTAAGATCTTTGAACTTTAGCAAAATCTGAATTTTTGCTGTGAAGGACCGCCGGGGGACATTTTGTGGGATAAATATTTTCCTTCTAGGTCATAGATTATAAGGAAACAAAGATCCAGCCAATTCTTGCTCTGTGTATTGTCTCTTGAGGCTCAGTTTGTTGGATGAGGTAGAATAAAGGCTGTTTCTTATTCCTTCACTGATAATCACGCATGAAAGCATGTCCATAATAATATTTTTCTGTAGATCTTAATTCATTTTAGAACACTGTTATTTTACTACTCTCTGCTACTTCCCTGAGGAACAGGCTATCCCACTGCAGTGCATATGGAATCCCTATAGAAAAGGCCATCAGCAGATCTGCATGGAAAGTATGGGTTATTGCAAGAAAACTATTTTTTCCCAGAACTTTTCCAGTCCACACTGAGAAGGGACAGAACAGATTGTAGGTGGAGGCAAGGACCCATGAATGATTAATATTTGCTACACAGAAGGCAATGCTTAGTCTTAGCAACCAAAGGCAAAGCGTCTTGAGTCTGTCAGTAAGCAATACAACTGCTACTGGTTGCTACTATTTTTAAATGCTGCTGTCGAAAGAAAAGTTGGTGCTGGACCATCAGTTTCAAGTGGGCCGTAACTGAGCCATGTATTGGTAGCTTTTCCTCTTTGCTGTTTATTTTAATAGCTGGCTAGGAGTCTCCAAAGTACAGATGTTTCTTCTAAAAGGTTGTGTTTTGTGTGTGTGAATGCAGCATTTAATATTGCATAAGGAATGGCCAGCAACAATCCCTGGCCCAATGTGTACCTTGGGCTTGGACACTCAGCTTGCGGTAGTAAGTGAGGAGTTCTGCATTTTTCTCCTTTTTCGGACTTATTTTTTCCAATGCTCTAGCTTCGCTTATAATAGTGCACCAATCTCACTAGCCTGGGTTAGCTTATTCAGAATTGACCAAGAACTCTGTTTTAAAATTATTTTTTATTATAATCCACCTACTCACATACCCTCTGTAAAACCTTCTTGAATTACTTACTGTGGTACAAAACTTGTTCTTTCTGTTTGTGCCTCTGTTCAGTTGTTAATCTAAGCCAAGGGTGCTCAGTTTGCATATCTGACAGATGATTAGAGGCTCCAGTTGATCAGATCAGCTTCTCTGATTCTTCCTACCACTCAGACCAGTCTGGGAACATTCCCCTGCTGCTGTTCAATATCATGCCTCCCATATTTCAGGCTATACCTGTCCCATCTTTTCCCATACATTCTTGCTGTCACTCCTACTTTCCACTGATTGCCCCTGGATTGGGAGAGGGAAGAGGTCAGTAGCACAGGGAGGGAGGTCATGGGGTGCCGGCAGAGCTGTTGTACCTGCAGCGTGTACCTGGCCTCCAGTGCAAACCAGGAGGCAGTGACCGTGGACCGAGGGCCAGCTTGCTCACGAGGATGTGCTTCACTGCGGCTGACCAAGCAGTCCACCTGTGCATACTTTCCAGTTGTTGGCTGCCTCACTATCAGGCATGTACTGGTCTGGCAGCAAACCCTTCTCTTCCCCGAGCTTAGTCAGACTTCACATACTGATTTACTAGCTACCAGCCAGACAGCTACATCATGCTTTGGGCCATATATCGCTCAACTCTGATTTACATCAGCACTGTGTCTGAGCAGCATATTTATGTAAGCTGCATTGGAACTGGGTGGCTGTTGTCCCCTCTAGTAGCTGGCAGCAGAAAGAATTATGGGTTTGCAGCTGACTTTGCATGTAAAATTTGCTGTCCTTCCTATTAAGGTAGGTAGGAGCCAAAGAGCGTACCAGATAACAGGAGGAACTCTGTCACACTGAATGCTTAAATCGTATCAGAGAATCATTTTCAGACTCCAGGTCTGCAGGCCAGCATGAAGTTATTAGATATCAGCGGGCAGGGGGCTTTTTCCCTGGAATGAACACCTGTGAAATATTTGCTGACTTCAGTCATGCAAAATGCCTGATGCAGTGTCAAGTGAGTGCTAATGGGGCAAGGACAGTGATCAATCTGGTCGTAGCTGCTAGTGTGACGATGTGATCAGCTCTTCTGACATAGCGTTATCACCTTTTCATTAGACTGCCAACCACAGTATGGACAACTTGCAAATGTTTTACATTCTGACCGTGAAGGCGCAGGCAAAAATATTTTAACTATGGGTTTTGTTTGTCTCTAACTGTAATCTGGAGGTTTTGCCTTTTCAAAAATATCCAACATCCAGTTGCATTACAGCATATTTTCTGTATGTATATTGTTTCGGCAACCATTTTTATATTTTTGTCATAATTCAACCTCTCTTACTCCCCAGTACTTCTCATTAGACCGCAACAGCTTCCGTCATACTTTCCTTTAGAGATCAATTTCAGGCACTGGAGATTTCAGATTTCAGACAATTTTTTTTCAAATATTGTTGCTTTTAAATACCCTTTTCCATTTAAAACTTGGGCTTCTTACGTGTTTCTGGATTTGAAAACATACCAGAAGAAAAAAAACTGAATTCTGTCTGGATCTTCTATGTCTTCTGAAATATCCTACCTTACTGATGAGTGTGACAATAATATGAATTTAATTAAGTCCCCATATGGTTGAGTTACCAAAGGTACAATATTGAAATCTCCATGTCTTCCTCATACCTAATTCTGGGTCATCCAGTCAGATCATAGAATCATAGAATAGATGCTTATGCCTTTCACCCTCTCTCAGACTCTTACCTTTTGAGGGTTGTCTTTGCAGGTAGACCGAGGAGAGAAATCCTTTTTAATATCTATTATTCTTTCATTAAACTGTGATCCTGAGGTGTAAAAGAATCAGTCTGAATTAGATCTGGGACCCCTGTGGTAGACACCTGTATTCCCAGTCTCGTAACTCTGTTCAGAGTTAATGGGACCTGCCTGTCTGTAGTCCTTCAAGAGGCACCCAAATGCTTGTGTCCACGGTTTTAGGAGTTGTGCTATAAAACTTGACCTGAAGTCCTCTGTGCTTCTGTTTCTGTAACTTTCAACTGCTTGCATAGTGACTGTTGGACCTAGTGGCTATTTTCTTCATGTCCGTTTGTGAAGTGGTATTGAGTTCCTCCCACGATTGGGCTCCTTAGGCAATCAAAATACTTCTAACAAAGGAAAACGTGCAGAAATGTTGAATTCCTGTTTTCCAATTGCCAGATTTCCTGCAACCAGGAAGACAAGTAGGGAATATGAAAGCACTGGCATTTTTTCTTGTGTTTTTATTGAATTGGATACTTAGATGTTTTGAACAAATTCAAAGCAAAATAAATTGCCATCCTTCAGGACTTGCTAAAACCACTTCATAGTTGCAAAAACTCAACAGTCTTTAAGATGGAACTGTGAAGCAGGGAACAAAAGCAGCAGTTATTTCAGCCAGCTTTTCTCCCACTTTTATTTTTGTTTGCTTGGTTCTCATTATTTCTCTCCTTGCTAATCTGAAACATGTCTGAAAAATGTGATGTTAACATTTTTAATCGCCATATCCATAATACAATTGTTGTATTCAAAATAGACAAAAATTCTCTATTTCCTCTTATAGTTTTCACTGACAGAGGCTTTAATGCCCTTTCCTCACCAGAATAGAAAACCGTAAAGTTTTGAGTCTCAAACTGCATGTGTCTGGAAGGTGCTGTCTTCCTAAGGAATACCTTTCTAGACAAAAATGTGCTTAAAATTTGACTAGGATTGTAAAATACTGTTTGCAGTCTTCATCCAGCAGACTCAGAAGCCTAATACAGTTCACAAAGACTTGGAATGGGGGGTGAAGGGAAGAGGGAGAGGGAGAATGAGCATCCAAGCAAGGATGACTTGCTTTCAACATAACTGTTATAAATTCTCATTATTTTAAACATGAGAGTGAGTAAGAGCTAATCAGATTTTCCAGCAGAATATTTTTCTATCAGAAAGTGACGATTTGTTTTGGAAAAAACCTGGATGACATCTTAAGACATTTTTAGAACATAGGTTTATGTCAAGAAAGGAAGGACAGGAAAGTTTAAAAAAAATCACAGTTAAATTAAAACAGTTTAATAGAACATTGTAGTTAGACTAAAAGGTTGGAAATGTAACGTTGAGCATCCGTATCTCTCTTACAGCTCAGTATTTCAGTTGTATCAAAAAGTGAAAATATGCACAGGCATTCCCACGGCGTCTCCCATCTCAGGCAGTGTTGTTTCTGAACTGTGCATGGAAGGCAAACCGGAAAATACGAGTATTTCTGAGGGTGCCAGCAGATGGGCTGCTACAGTCCGTTTTGAGTAGTCTGAGATGCTGCTGCACAGTTGCTGTTAGCTACTTGCTTTTCACTACTGAAGGTGTTACCTTGGGCTGAAAGTGATTACAACAGGTTTTAGCTCAGTTACTGTAGCTTGGTTGACAAAGCAGTAAATTCCAGCTGGTGGGGCTGTATCATCCCAAAGTGACTGCAGGAAGACATTTGGCTATGGTGTATGACATATAACTATGTCAGGAGTAGTTTAAATAAAGTTGGATTGTTATGTTGTGTTGGTACCCTGTATTAGCAGAGCTTGTAAATACAGTATTTTCTGGTCTGAATCTAAACACAACGTATTTGTTTCCAGTATGGAAAACATTCTAGTATCTCTGGTTCTTTACATTTTTGCTGCATTGAAGCATGGCGTGTGAAGATCTGTGGTTGAAAATGGACAAGGTGTGTGTTGAAGGGTGTAACAGAGGACATAAACGGTTAGAGCAGACAGATGCAAAGTCAAAGTTACGGCTCTACAAAACACTTTTGCTTTGAATTTTGAAGCTTTCTAAAATCCTTTAATGTTTTATGGTATTTTAACAATTTCCCAATTTAAGAGGTGCTTTAAACATTTATGCCTCTACTTTCTAAGTTTGAGGATTTCATTGTCTATTTAAATAACTGAAAAAGTACAAGAGAATTTACTGTGAAGTGTAACATTTCCTTCTTTTAAGGTCTGTATGTCACTGCAGGTACTTGTGCTACCCCTGTACGGGCCATTTACTTGCATTCTATAGGCTTGTTGTGCTAGCTTCTGTATGAAGGGTGTTAAAAAATATTTAGACACCTATTATTACAGTTTATGTTTTGATTAAAATGGTTAAAATTTTCCACTGATTTTGCAGTACAGGGTTAACTTGTTTCTGTTAAATTTAATCCTTTCTAGGGTGAAGTTGTGGAATTCCTTGACGAGCTGTTAGAAGTAGAGGAAAAGAAGGAATCCTGATGAGTGAAAGCACCACAAAGTATTTTACAAAAGTGAAGACTCCCCATTGCTCCTTACTATTGTTTTTGGTCACCTGTAGTTCCAGTTAGATATACCTCAAAGCTGCTCCTTTAAGCTCCACCTTATGTCACAAGATCCACTCCTGAAAAATCATTTCCATGCTGCACTGACTCTTCCGTGAGCATGGCTTTTCACTGTACATCTACAGAATTGGTGCATCTGGGTTTTCCTCTTGAGCTTTCTTTCCTTTACACAAACACAACAAAGCAGACTATTTGTATTTTCTGGGCTAACACTAAGGTTCCTCATTTCAGTGCTGTTCTACTAAGTTAGGACAGTACAGCTAAATTCCGAAGAACTTTTGTGAGATTATGAACAACGGAAGACATAACAGTTCCTCTAGACTTTCTGAGCTATGTATTGTATTATTTATATATGTCTTTTTCTGTGATGATGAATAAAGTGATACTGAATCCCAGTGCAGCTGAAAGACGTTAAGATACATTTAAATAGCTGAAATAAGATGATTAACAAAGCACAACTAGTGATCCTGTAAAAATTGCTTAAAGAATTCTGTAAGTCATGTTGATCTTTCTTAAAAACTAAATGAAATTCCATGATGTGAAACTGAGGTCACTTAGAACTGAATAATAAATAATTCCTTCTTCCTACCAATTCTTACTCTTTCTGTTGAAACAACTTGTCGTTCCTGTGTGAGGTGGGGCCAATCTTGTATAAAATAATGATGGTCGATGTATTTAGTATTCTCTTCTGTAGAAAACAGTTTGCATGGTTGTTTCTGTCTTGTGGGACTATCTGCATAGTTTTCATCCAAAATTAAGTACAGGTGGAGGCTGAGGCAATTTTAAGTGGAATCATGAAAAATATTTGCATGTGAATTCCTGACATGTTTTATTAACTATATGGCAGAGTCCTATACAGAAGTACTTTGAAGGCCCAAAAAATACTGTGTTGGAGATGAGTAGTGAATTAGTGCACAAGAGTACTGAAGAGCAGAAATCCCATTGACCGCAGAGGAGGATCCAGGATTTGATCCTTTGCTTTCCTCTTTCATTTTTAAGGACCAAGTCCTGCAAGTGATTTCATCCCGCTTACATCAAGGGGAAGCAAGAGCATTCAGTGCCTTTATGAGTGAACCGTAATTCAGCTGAATGGAAGTGAATTGTAAAACCAAAATCTGCTTTAGGTTTTTAAAAAGGCAAACCATGAACTGCACTATCTTACTGAGTTCTGGTGCTATAGCTTACATACGCTGTAGAAGTATAATGTCTACACTGTTGAGTGTCTACAGAGGACAAGAAGGGAATCCAAAGGATCAGGTGTAAGTGTCCTCCAGCCTGTGAAAGCAATGAAACGTTTTAAAATGTTAAAGTGTGTGTGAAAGATGTTTGGAGGATCAGATTGGGGGTTTTTTAGCTTCTTTAGTATAAATCACAGCTAATCTGCTGAAGTCGATGGGCAGATTGCTTAATTCTCAAAATCTATCAAGAGCCTTTTAACTTTAGATTTACCCAGCTCCACTTGCGATAACAAGACCAGAATTTGAGCATACAGAGGGTGTATCAGATTTCCTTACACTTTTTGTTCCATACAGTATTAGGACTCCATTTATTGTAATTTTATGTAAGAATTTAACTTCACTTTTGAAATTTACAAGCACTTGATTGTAAACCATCACTTACTTCCCCATGAAATAAATGTATTATAATACCCAGCTGGGGTAGCTTCCCCAGTTTGTCCCTAGTTTTCTCTTGCTGGAGGTGTGTGTATGCTCAAGGGAGAGGTTACTGCTCAGGAGGCCTCTTTTGTCCCTCTGCTTTCCAACTTGCATAGGACAACTCCAGATTTCCTCCTCAGAAACTCAACCATTGATGTTAAGATCATATGCCCAAATAACTTAATCTTTGATACTCCAGCTTTTGAATCCAGAAATCCCGCCATTAAAGGGCATGGAGTTGGTTGGGGGTGGATGGATCTATCTACATTGCCTTTGTTTTACAACATTTTTAGTTTACTTTTTTCTTACTACCATTTACCAAACCAACGTAGGAGCTCTGCCAAGCACAGACTGTTATCTGGCTATTTGTTTCTGCGGTGGCCTAGCTCTTCTGTGCTGTCTGTAGGTACTGCAATGCGAAACCTTAAAGACTTCCAAGAGAGGTGCCTGTAATTCAAGCTCCTGGGCCTGAGGTTTTCCGTAACTATACATCTTGTGTAGAAATAACATGTGCATAAAGCTTCTGATCAGATTTTGCCTGTTGGAGAAGCAAGTAGCAGAGACTACAGTAGGTACAAGATGACAGAAAATCAGTTCCAGGATCATTTTGGTTTGCCACGCAGCATTATTTCTTCCCAGTTAAAGAACTCCCTTCCCCGCTCCAGCACTAATTGTCTGAGATTGCTATAATCTTTTTTAAAGACCAAAGTATGCGGTAAAATATTGTAATATTTTCATTCCACCAGTAAAACATTGAGCACCAGACTTAACCTGTTTTGTGATTCATTTGACTTAATGGGTTACACTGGGGATACATTTAGCGCCTATGAACCCTAATTTTTCCTCTTCATCAAACAGTTATTCAACCATTGCAAGTCTCTTGGGTATTATCAATTTTCTGGTAAGCTTGTGATTCTGTCTTTAAGGCTTCCTTAGCTGATCTTTTTTCATGTTCAGTCATTTCCTCAGCTCTCGACCTTACAGCTAAAATCCCCTGCCATTGTGCCTTCTCAGGTGGGGATTTCATGATTTACTAAGATGTCCATTAGCCAATGATTTATTTTTTCTTAAGCCTACTTGAAGTAAGTCTGATGTCCTTTACCGTTCCATTTAACTTGAGGAGGCAAGTGATACTCTTGCAGCCTCCTGAAATGGCACTGTGATCCCTTTTTCATTTTGTTCAAGTCTCTCTGGATTTTTTCTGGCTTTCTTAATTTCCACTACATATGGTCCCAAGCCAGTTCAATCTTAGTAAGTACAAGTAGTTCTCAAACCCTTGTTCTTTTCTAATGAGAAATAGCTCCTCTTCCAGTTCTTCAGTATTTATTGTGGCTTTTTTCAGCATTCTCAGGTTCTTTTAACTGATTTTTCTTTTGCTGCTGCTATTGTTAAATGCCAACATTTACATGTGACTGCAATAAATTAGTGTCTTTTCTTCCACTTCTCTGATCCTGCCAGCTCTTCTTGGGAGGCTGCGGGAATATGGTTCTTGCCTCCCTTCTGCCACCCCAAATTCTTGCAGTTGTGAGTTGTCTGCCTCAGATGTTAGCGGCTTCTGCCTAACCTGATGGGATATTTAGATTTTTTTCTGTTTCTTTTTTTGACAAGGTTTACAGTATGCTGCTGCTGCTCAGGGAAGCATCATTTTGTTGAAGCCACCGTGTTCATGTGACTGACTCAAACGCAACATCGGTACCATGTGTCTGCTGACCCTGGGCTGACCCTGGAGATAAAATTCATATCTACCTCGGTGGCAGTATTGCTTGTTGTGGAGCTGTACCATTACACTTTTTAACAATTGCAAACATTTTTAGTAACAAAGCTGACTATTTGGGTAGCTGCTGTTGGCCTCCAATCCTCCTTTGTTGCCCACAAGCAAGTCTGCAATAATTCTGAGCGTGTCGTTCCATCACCACTTAGAGGTTAACGGTGGGTGAAGTCAATCTTTGGGCAGGCGGCTAGCACAAGGGTCTGCACGCAGTGCGAGTCCTGTGCTTGATCTCTTGTTGGATGGGATCCTGCGTGACGGGGTACTGCTTCAAAGCTGAAGATTAAACCGAATCACAAATGCTGGCGCACTGAAGTGAGTATTTGGTTATGTGAAAAACAAGACTGCTGACTGTCAGGACAATCTTTCTTATGTAAGGAACCAAAGCTTGGGCAAGGGAAGACATTCACAGGTTGGAAATCAGTGTATCTGACAGACTGTGCTGAGTATGTAACCTGTTTCAAATTAATACCTGCTCTTACTGATATAATTGTAAGTCTTCATGTATTACCAGCTTCTTGCTAATTCATCCTCATAAATAGCAGTATTCATTAAAAAAGGAAGAAAGGTGGTAGTGATTTTTCTGCTCGAAGTTTAATTCTGTTCCGATAAAACAGCATCGCAGGCTCCATACTTCTGTCTCGGCAATTCCAATAGCTAATAAAGTCAGCTACAAAAAACAAATACTTTTAGAATGATCAGTTCTGGCAAATTCAGTGGGAATTCAAATGTCCTGCTGGGCCTTTTCATTCACCCTAGTGATTCTGCAAGCAGACCTTCGTTAGTTCTGTTGACAATGCATGAGCCAAAAGCGAATTCAAATTGCTCAATTTTCCAGAGCTTTACTGCTTTGGAACGCTAAAATATAAACGCAAAAGTTAGTTGGATGCTGTTCTCAATTCACCTGGAAAGCCCGTCCGACGAAGGAGGTGCCGTTTCTTCATACTTGCCAGAATAAGTTCGAGGTAGAATTAAAGGTGAGTCTCCTCAAGACAAGCTATTCCCCTGAAAATCCTATAGCGTGTCCTGCTTTACAAAGCTTTTTCTCAATACACTCTTGCCATTAATACCCACCGTGTATCTCCACATCTTTTACAGCGAATTATTGTTCTATATTGATAATGAAGGCAGACTTACTTAGAAAATCTTTCAATTTCTAGAGCGTCTTCATGAAAAATGGTTTAAATAACATGCAAATTTTACAGCTCTGAAAACGGAGTTGTGATTAGACAAAGATTTGTTGGATTATAAAAGTACACGTGTTTATTATGGCTGGTACTGAGAATAAACAGTTGCCTGCATATGCCAGCTACTATGGAAATATGTTTTTAAGTTCTAATGTGAGCTGTAAACCAAAGCTACTTCAGTTAAAAAAATTCAATACTTAAACTGTGGGGAGAAGTAGTCAGTGCCAGAGAAAACATTCCCATTTAATAATGTTTGAACATAGAGCTGTGATGCAGTTTGTAGCAAGGCAGTGAGAAAAACCCACAACTAATCCTTCATTGCAGCTGTCTGAACTTTTGGTTGTCTGCCATACTTTAAACAGCGACTTCTTTTTTCTGGTGACTCAAGACTTGAATGACCTAGTGTGGAGAGTTTAAGCTATATACAAAAAAGAAGTAAAGTAAGAAATAGCCAAAGTAAGTTGGGTTGCACACCCCAGCAAATCAGGGTTTTGTATCTTAAGTCTTCTTCAGTGCCTAGGAAAAAATATTAAAATAAATAGATACCTATTTATTTATTTATTTTTGGCAAGGAAATATTCAGCAGTTTAGACACCCATCTCTCCTCCCTCCCCTGTTCTCTCTTCTTAGAGTACCAATGATATATGGAAACTAAATTCTGTAGAGAGTTCTGAATTTTTTAAGTTTATAAATGCTAACCTTTTCTGTAAAAAAACTTTCTAAGTTTTCTTTGATTATTTTTAACTTTCTCTTCCCTTTGATGTACCTCACAGGTAGGCCTTTTAGTTTAGACACCCATCTCTCCTCCCTCCCCTGTTCTCTCTTCTTAGAGTACCAATGATATATGGAAACTAAATTCTGTAGAGAGTTCTGAATTTTTTAAGTTTATAAATGCTAACCTTTTCTGTAAAAAAACTTTCTAAGTTTTCTTTGATTATTTTTAACTTTCTCTTCCCTTTGATGTACCTCACAGGTAGGCC